ACTCCTCAGCAGTGCGCATTCACGACCTCGCTTCGCGAGATTCCAACCCAGAACCTACCAGTCTCGCGCCAGAGCATTTAACCGATAGACCACAAAGCCGGCATCCGATGGCGTTTATGTCTAACTCCAACCAAGCCATGAAGTTGAGCAACCATTCACCAATTGTCTTCAGTCAGTTGACATCTCACAACAGACGTGGCTTCAACTCCACTGGTCACTGCTTCTCACTAGAACTCCTGGATTTACTTCTCGAATCTCGCGAGGCGAGGTCGTGAATGCGTAGTGCTGGGGAGTCCCATAATAGGATGAAACGGCCGTCTAGTGCTTCCAGGTTTTCCCTGGTGGTCTAGTTTCAACTGACTCACGCTTTCAACTATGAAAATACTAAATCTCCACAAAACACCTTCTGATAATTATAAAATCGTATGTTTTTCTGCGGAGGCTTGAACGTTAAAAATATATGCTACTTAATCTTTTATCAGTAGTCAACCTATTCAATAAAAATTTCCATCTGCTGTAGACCTGCAAGTGATTGATTTGATACTGAAGTAATAATCTCAATCAAGATTGTTTAGATTTTTCTAATTTTAGTTTTTCTTTTCTTGAACACATAAATAATCAAATACTTTTCGATAGATAACATATTCCATACTTCTTGATTTAGCTACATTGATCTACCTTACAAGTGAATGTATATAACCGACTTGAAAACATTATGCCTAGTTATATCAGGTCACATACTGGGTAGAATGAAACTTATGGGACTGTTCAGAAGAAAATTAGTGCTGTCATACGACTTACTATAACTAAATTATTGTCAATTAAATATCATTAGAAGAGAGGGATCTGTAGAGATTGTAGAGTTCTCACAATTTGAAATCATGAGATGACCCTAGTTAGATCACTCAGTCTCTCAATGGTGATCTAGATACGATCATGATTTCAAACTATGGAAATTAATTATTCACTGCTTAACCGCTTCTCCATTACATATAGTTTGATTGTATATAAAGTATGATTCTTTATTTATGGCCTATTACTTTCTGGTAATTAATTCACATAAACTTATGAGTTTCTTAGTCAGGATGATACTAGATAATTGAAAGTGAATCTGATTTCTAACTTCATCTTTTGATTAGACACTGGGTTAGATGGAGCTCGTGGACCAATAAGAATTACGGTATCGATTGTATCCTCATGATCACTGGGTGACTGGCCTGGAGAAACTTGTTGGTCTAATAAGTAAAATAAAAAACTATTCAGTATGCTGATGCAATAATCAACTGCTCCCGTAATTATGTGCACGAATACATAGGTGTCATAAGAAACAACGAATCACTGTTTTGGAAGATACATTGACTACTAATTTCATCATTCTTCACAACTTTATCTTCCCTTGGCTGCCTTTTCAGTACTTTACATCGGTCAACAATTGACAGTTCGAGTCATATTTACTTACCACAAGGACCTGTATACACTAAAACAGATGATAGTTCTTACAACTAAGTTTAACTATTTCAGGATAGTTTTAACCAAGTATTGATATATTTCAATACAAAAATGTACCCATACTGTGAGGATGATCCACAGGTGTTAAGTCGGCTTCCAGAGAACTCTAACAGAGCCTCCAGATGCTCATAAAGAGCCCCAACCAGTCAGCGTTTAATTAGAAGTTGTGTGAAGTTATGTTACTAAAATAACGAGATCCTGATTGACTGATTAACACACTCCTACTATGTAAACTCAAGGTCTCTTAATTACTATAAAATCCCTGTATTTTCTGTACATAAAGGAACTTTGCAGTAAAGTGTTTTCTCTCATACTCCAGTCTTCTCCCTGGTGTTCAAGTCGCTGAGTAGTTCTAGCCTAGGGTTATCAGAATAGCTTAAGATCTGAATATAGCGTTCAACTTACAAGACGTATCATATACACTTTTGTAAAACGTTTAAAACCGGCTTTAATGCTAAATTCCTTAAGATACAATCAGAAATTCTACAACGCATACATGCAGTTCCATTTTGTCCTTGTTTATTCTTTCAAGAAACAAGAAAATACATTAGAATTCATGAATTAAGTGTATTATGTAGTGTACGCATGGTCAAAAACTATTACAGTTGACAGTGAATGTCAGACAGATATATACATTTATACATTCCTTAAGTAGTTACAAATCAGGTACATATTTAGGCAGAAGTTAAAATACTATTCCTTACTGTAGTACTAAATGAAACAATTATTATATTTCCATTTGATCGTACAATAGGCTGGGCGAGCATAAACATACTACGTGCTTACACTTACATACTGTCTGGAGGTCGAACGGTAGGCAAAAGAATATAAACTAGGGATATTATTAAAGAGAATCATTCTATTATCTATTCAAGGTTTCAGCTTACATGTCAGAACAGAAGAACAATCATTTGTAACATGTGTAGATTATAATTTAGTTTGGTAATTAAACCTTAATTATTCGTTTTACTTTTATCATCTGTGTGATGAGTTAAATGTATCGTAGGCAGTGTATCTTATAACTGAATGGGATCATAGAATAAGACAATCGTCAGGATTACATTCTCGTAATTTATTGCTCTTCTACATGAAACATGCTCATTCTTCGTTTTTTTTTCTTTGTTAACTTTACAGGTTTTAATATTAATATCTTTCCAATTCGTTTGTTTATTATCATCATTGGTGTTACAATTAGTTACTTCACTCTGAAAAAGAACATGTTCAGTATCCACAATCACAAAATTATTTCTAAGATAAAATTTTTAGTGCTAATAAGATAATTTATGTAAAACAAAATAAATCTACCGACTTCAGGACGTTACGCCGACCGAAACTAAGACATAAATACAGCCAATGTGATGATGAATGGACAGATCTTCTGATTAAGGTGAGTAGTCAACGAGATAATCATTGGCAGAAGGGTTGATAGTAGGGATAGAATATATATATTCGTGAATAAGGTAATATTATATTCTGTAAGGGGTGTGTGGGTGATTTCCACTTCCAGGTTGACCACACCGTGAAAGGATACTACATCTTGAGGTACATGAAAACTAAATTAGTAGGTCTTAGAGACCGGAGAGTATGATACAGAGACTGCTTGAAACCAGTCACTTCTAGTTCTCGTGCAAAAGCCAGAAGTTTAAAGACCATGATGCTGGAGACGAGAACCCGTAAGATAAGATGAGGCCTTACTTTTAACCTGCCCTTTCGCTGAGACCTAAATACTGGTTGTTTGAAAGAGCTTACTTCAATCACACTCCATGTACAGTCAGTAATATGTTGCCCCCGGACTTTAAGTTGCCGCTTCCAGTCTTGTTATATTCGCGTCGCTTATTACTTATACTCGAAAAAATGATAAACCACTGCAATTCGCCCAATGTGAATTAAGAATACTAAGACTGGTACACGTGAAGATTTATTAAACCCAAAACACAACCCTGGTCGAAAACGAACTCATTTACAAAACAATTGGACGCTCAATTTAAATCACATATCGTGAATATCTAGAGTTATAATGTTATAACTTTTGCCCGTCAGTTATCACGTGACAAAGTCGTCTATCACAATACCGGCTTATATGACCTTATTCCTGTGCTAAACCAATGACATATCAACCAGTACTGGTAGCCTTGAGTCAATTCTGAATCCTTATTGATCATCAAAATAGTGACTTCTCACGCTTAAGTTCGTAAAGTAAAAGGCGGATCCCTTCATTTGACCACTGATACTTGCTTGAGTAGATATAACGTCCATTATAAATAATCCTAGTCAGACATATAAACTATTTTATCTATTCACTTTTGATTTAGAGTATCTTATATACAGAAATCTACCCAACAAATACCTAACTTGATACTTACTTACGCCTGTTACCCCTCGTGGAGGAGCAGAGGCCGCCCACCAGCATTCTCCATCCAACTCTGTCCTGGGCAATCGTTTCCAGTTGTCATTCATCCTTTTCATATCTGCTTATTCCTTCAACTCTCAGGGCAGAGTTTAAATGGTTTGAATTATTTTTTCTGGTTAGTGTTTTTTTAGCGAGTTAGTTTTTCTACAGGATGGGGGCGCTAACCAAATGCCCAACCCTCCTCCTTTACCCGGGCTTGGGACCGGCAGTAAGTCTAAAAGAGCTACAGGCGGAGTTTAACTTGATGCTACTAAATATTTAAGTTATGAACGACTATCGACCCCCCCCCTATTTTAAAAAGAACATCGAACGTATATGCGATCTCTCCTGTATTATCGACCACCAATTTACTATCCAAATGATTATTAATATAATGAATTCAAAAGAAACATTTGTAAACACAATTCCTCGAAAATATTTAAAAGTAAGGAAATCTGCATGTAAAACTCGACCTTAAGCTGATGATAACTTCATCATGAGTGCGGGATCATGGATGAGCACTGCTGAGGAGTCCCATAATAGGACGAAACGGCCGTCCAGTACTTCCAGGTTTTCCATGGTGATCTAACTTCAATTGGCTCATGATTTCAACTATGATAATAAAAAGAACATTACTCTTTAGAACCACTGAAACAGAGATAAGACAAATATATTTAACTGTATAGTACTCTTACATAATAGTGCAAAATTCATACCTAAATAATGTCATGATACACACATACACATATATAAATACATAACACAATGAGTTGATATATTAATGATAATGGATAACTAGTGTGACAGTGGTAATGATGATAATGATGATGATGAATAGGTTAAAGGAAAGTATATCAATACATATAAAAAGGTAAGATTATGTATCACAATAGCTTTGTGCAAGAAAAAAAATAATAATCAGAGGGGGTTTTGTGGAGATTTAGTATTTTTCATAGTTTTAAAGCATGAGTCAATTGAAGCTAGACCACCATGGAAAACCTGGAAACACTGGACGGCCGTTTCGTCCTATTATGCGCACTGCTGAGGAGTCCCATAATAGGACGAAACGGCCGTCCAGTGTTTCCAGGTTTTCCATGGTGGTCTAGCTTCAATTGACTCATGCTTTAAAACTATGAAAAAAATAATAAACAAATCAATCAATAAATCAATAAAATCACTAATAATCAATTTGTGTTCTCTTCAGTTAAGGAGTTATGATAGGGATCTTTAAATGAATAATAATAATAATCATCATTGACTGGTTCATCTAAATAACAAATCATATTCGGTGTTTGTAATTCAGTAAAATATGATAGCTGTGAAGTATGACTATCTAAATCCAAATATTGTTTTTTATTGTTGTTGTTGTCTACTTCAGACTCATCATTGTCATGACTGATATTATCAGTAGTATTAGTAGTAGTAGTAGTAGTGGTAGTAGTAGTAGTAGTATTAATATTCTCATCAATAAACTGGAAAAGAATTTTAAAAGAAGAACATAATATAACACTTGGTAATAAACAAACTAGACAGCTTCTGCATCCTAGAATGAAATTACTCAACAGTGAGTATTCACAACCCTAACGGGTAGTTTGAAGCCATGAAATTTAGGTCTCACAGCGAGCACTCAACCTTTAGGCTACTGAATTGAGATATATAACTGCAATCGATTTCCAATATTACGCAAGTATTTTTAATGTCTTTGGTGTGTATCTCTGTTACACCCGACAAGGTAGATCACAGTTTCTCACTAGAACCATGGGAATCACCTCCTGAAATTAGTCCCATACTAGAACTAGATAAATACCTAGTGATTTCTGATTTCCAATGGTCAACCAACTTAGGTCAGATCGTGATATCATAAGTCAAATGCTGAAAACATTACAACTGAGATGACAGATTATGAAGAGTAAGATGAAGTACAAAATTTAAAAATATATGCAAGTAGTCACCCGTTTGAGGATGAATTAGGTTACCTATTACTTCAGGTTAAACCTGTTGTTAAGGATGTCCTAGAAATCTTGGTTTGTTTTATTTCACACAATCTGAATCTTTAACCTTGAAGAGAAGAAAAAACTCGCAATACACCAACTATTTACACTCACTAATATACAACTTTTGACTTCCTGTTGTTGGTCATCCTACCAATTTAACGCTAAATCCTTTTATTTTCCAAGGTTAAAGATGGACTATAGACAGAACTGTATTATGATTTTAGACTCTTGTGGAGAGAATAAAACGCTCTCCCTATGGCAAAAGATCAATCTACATCAATTAATGTTCACACAAAACAATTATGTTTAAATTGTGTGATATCGTACACCGTTAAAATATGTTATTGTTATATCAATCGTAACGCTATGATCTGATTTATAATCTGTCTAAATATATAGGACATCAAAAAACTTTAACTCAATTACAAAAAAGGAACTTGGTGATTGCAATGAATAGTAGTATTAATTACTAACCTCTCGAAAAAGCAAACTTTTCAAAGCTACTACAAGACATAAGAGACTCTCTTGGATTAACCTAGTCTAAAGTGTGACAAAAGACACTGGCGACACTGAAAAACAATCATGAAGTACTGTAAACTGACTAGAATACAATTTCATGATCAAGTGAGCAAATGAAATATCAGTAAATGATTGCTGAAGCCAGTGGCGATCCTGCTGTAACCTTCTTTTACTTTCTTCATAAAGAGTGGTTATAACTTTCTTAACTGAAAGAGTCTCATGGTTGTACATTTCAGATCCTCCCATCATTACTCTTCTCTTTTTTTCATTCTATCTTTTTTCTTTTATATATACGCATCTTCCCTCTTTCTCTTCCCATTCTCATTGTTTTGTGTGGAGCATATGTATCTGGTTACCCCTTTGTACCAATATGTATGTGTTTAAATAAATAAATAAAAATTTAAAAAGTGTGACAAAAGACACCGGCGACACTAAAAAACAGTCATGAAGTACTGTAAACTGATTAGAATACGATTTTATGGTCAAGTGAGCAAATGAAGTATCAATAAAAGTTTGCTGAGGAACTAACTACATAAAAGATAGCGACTCCTCGACTTTTGCGCAAAATTCAAAACGTAGTGACAGATAGTTCTATATAAGAACTAAGTGAAACCTATAAATATTTAGTTATTTACACGTTTAATATAGGCAAACATGTAAAGGCTAAAATTATGAATTAGTGAGGGTGTATTAAATATTCTTGATAATTGAAATCAAAGAACTGTATAACTACTTCATCCTTCTATTCTATTTTTAACGACTATACCAAGCCCTAAACCTAACACCTGAACTTAAATTGAACTCGTAACCCAAACTTGAAATGTAAATGTTCATCCCAACCTTATTGTTTTCCGAGCTTTTACGTGGTTTAATATTTATTTATTTAAAACCTGCATTTTGATTGGCTAAAAATTAGCTTTATTTTCTGAAGGTCATTTTAAAGGTCTCTAAAGGTTACCAGCAACATAAGCACGCTTTCAACAAAATATATTTTCAAACTGAAATCTATCCAGAAAAGGAAGAATCGATAGAAAAAAATGTGAAATTTTCATAACAATAATAATAATAATCATTCCCACACATCAACTATCCTTATTAATTATTAGCAAACAGTCTAGATATAACCGCCTACTCTAATTCAGATTATAGGACAATCTCTAAGATCCATAGGTGTGTAGCCCTTACAGTATACCACACCTTCAATCAAATAAATATATTATTTGAATTATGTAACTCAATCGTAATTCGTAAACTATCCAATGATTCACTTAGTATTGTTTGTTTGAATCTTCCCATTGATGTTTTTAGGACTGCATCTGGTCAGTTTCTTATTGGCATATGTGCATACTGTGCGTATTACCTCGACATAGCCTAAATTCACAAGCATGGTAAGCAAAGATGGATAGTGGCTAGCAGTGGAATCCAGGACGAGCGTTTCGTCCTATTTGGGATTCGTCAGCTGGATGTACCTGCATCTCAGAGTTGATGTTCACTCTGGGACTCGAACCCAATGATTGTTGTTTATAATCTAAGTGACTATGAATTGAATCTGGATGCTAACAAAATTTTCTTATCGTATTTAATGATAATTTCCTTGTCTACAATTTAAGTCTAGCTGATATGAAAATTTAATTGATCAAAGTGATATGGTTTGATGAGGAAAAAAAACAAAGAAACAAAACAGACAGACAGGAGAACATACCAATCTTATGTGTCATGTTTGATACAAAAATAGACTATAAGGGAAAACCAATTGTATCATACTAACCAATAACAATACCAGGTTATATTTTATTCATATTTAGGATCAAAATCGACACTTCACGTAGAATAATTCATCAGATTTTTACACCATGAAAGTAGTCGATATTATTAGGGATTGCAAATGTCAACATCAATGAACACACAACTGGTATTCTTCTTTATAAAGATATAAATGTGAAATTGATTGAAACAGTTATAAGCAATATATATCATGTCATATATATGCATTAATTCAAGTTGCCACACCTCATATCAAAGAAGACAAAGATTGGATATGAATCTTTGCCATTTTGATTGGTTCTGATTTATGTCACTTAATATCTTCAACCAGTAATGATGATAATCACCAAGAACTTAACCAGGTAGTCAACATCTACCTACATGACTCAATCCAACAATTGAATAGGAAAGGAAATCTCTATGATTCTGTAGAATAGATGGATTTATTTATAGTATTGGAATCCAGGAAGCTTGTCTCGTTCTATTTAGGACGCATCGATTGAATTTGCCTGGATTCTAATGTTGATTTTCAAACGGGGACGCGGACCTAATACTTTCCATTTCAAATTGATAACGTATTGTTTACTAAGCTACTGAGTTCAGACAACTATTTATTTATGCAATGAGTATAATATTTAAATTACTATTAGAAAGGATGGAGTTCATATAAATTCAGCTGACAAGCCCCAAAAATGACAAAACATGTGTTTTGGATTCCATTGATGACCACAAGTTCATTCTATTTTACAAGAAATAGTGAAAAATGGCTATATTGAGGGAAGCCGGACAGGATGCACACATAGCAACAAAGATTGATCGAAGTTCAGTCAAGATTAACAAGAATATGATAGTGTGAAACCTTTCTAATTTATGGATATATATTAAAGAGATGAGTAATGTGACTTATTTACCAAGTATAGAGTTCTGTAATCAGCTTTAAGTTAAATTACTTTTGTGAAGACTAGTGATACTAACAACCTAGTTACCCAAACTACCAAATACTTCCACATCACTAAGCTACAGCCACTCTACATCCTGAATAAATTAGAAGAATGTTTGATTGTCTAAAGTCAGTTCGTGATGTAGACGATAAAATTTAACAATCTTCACAAACCCATATTCTTTATTCGTGAAGCGAAAACGAAATAACAGGAGAGATATTCGTGTAAATCGACATATCGTCTGCTGACTGGAACACATCACAATTTCTTTAAAATTAATCTCTGTTGATAAAATTATACAAAGAATGAAATTTAAATTCATAATATCTCCAAAACCTAATACCAATTAATTTATTCTGTAATGGTTTGGACTATCTCATTATTGATGGTAAGATCAGTCTCTCATTAGCATATGTGTATACTAAGCAAATTAATCTATTGCGTCACAAGCACTTTTAAACAAATAAATTAAAATTCATTTCTGTTTCATCAACTACAGGCACTCTGAGTTCAGTAGATAAATGGATAAAGCGTTGGCATTTAGAGCGAAAAGTATACTATGTTCGAGTTCCATATTGGAAATGAACTCTGTGATGTAGGTACACTCGACTGATGAGTACCCTCTCCTTATTCAACTGCTAGCCACATTCCATTTATTCTATATTAACTTAATACTACCTAGAGTTTTTATTTCATTTTTTAAAAAAAGATAAAAATCGCCAACACACACCTCTACATTGGTAAAAATACATCTTTGAAAATATAAATGAATATCTCTGGATAAAAATCATTATATCTAAGCATAGGATTGCCTACAAGCACATAGATATGCACACAGAATTATTTTAGGGGGGCACCAGATATATATGCGCCAGACAAATCTCATTTGATTTGTGTGATGTCTGTGATACTGCCCAGGTGCTCAAACTGAAGCAGATGTTTTCCTTAGGGGGCCACACTCGGCGTCTTTGATCTAAGGGCCTAATCCACAAGATAGTGGAGCATCGTAAGGAGATGCAGTTCCATGGTAGTTGGTGACCGACGATTGGTTCATACACCATACTGGAGCTCATATTCACCATTGGTTTGAAATCAGCGTTTTCCAACCCCCTCTAGGTGGACTTTCCGTGTCCACCAATCCGGTTAAAACGCCGAATATTCGCTTTTCGTTCTCTCAATGTCGTAAACAACACCCCCACCATGAGAAAAAGAAACAAACATACAAAAATAGACAAATAAACAAATACAAGTATATAAATATATTTATAATATAAAAATAAATATTAAAATACCTCTAAAATTTGACTTAATGGACTTGAATTGAATTCTTTTGATAATTGTTGATCTATAGTATTAATTGATGAAGAATATGATAAATGATTTGGTGAACAAATAAATTGTAATGATGGATAATTGGATTCAAATAATGGTGAATTTTTGTGCGTTTGAACTGTGTAGGGTTTAAATTTATTTCCAATAAATGTGGAAAAAGAAAAAAATAAGGTGTAAAAGGTTAATCATACTTTATTTTTACTAGTCAAGAGAAGTATAGTATCTGGTGCCGCCAAATGCCTTGGTACAGCCGAGAATGGGAAAAGTCAGCTCTCCCTCTCCAAATGCTCTCACATGGTCACGCGTATATAGCCTCTGCCAGGGAAGTCCTACTCATTGCCTTCTCGTGCGGGGGTGTTGTCTACAAAATTGACAGGATGAAAAGCGAATGTACGGCGCTTTAACCGGGTTGATGGACACAGAAAGTCTACCAGGGGGGGTTGAAAAACCCTGATTTCAAACCAATGGTGCACATGGGCTCCAGTATCCTGAGGGAACAAGTGGCGTATGAATCAATCGTTGGTCATCGGATACTATGTGTCTGCATCTCCTTACGATGCTCTACCGCCTTGCGGATCAGATCTTTAGGTTAAAGGCTCCGGGTGTGACCCCCTAAGAAAACCACCCGCTTCAGTTTGGGCACCTGGGCAGTATTAAAGCCCTCACACAAATCAAATGAGATTTGTGTGGCGCATATATATCTGGTGCCCCTCTGCACCAGTATTTATGTGTTTAAATAAATAAATAGATAGTATCTAGTATACTTTTGGGTTCTGTTAATAGGTCAGTACTATATATAAGAGAATTAATTTTCACTGAGGATTTCATTTAAATCATCAGAAGCTATCAATATATGTCTTCTATGAATACGCCACTGTATTATATCCCAACACATTGAATGAAAGAAGAAAAAACTAGAGCTTAAAATGAAATCTTCAGTGAAAAATATCTTCTTATATGCAACACTTACCTATCAAATGAATAGAAAAATCTCTGAGAAAGGTTGGAAATCCAACATACACAAACATCCTTCAATAATGATTCATCCTTCACTAATCAAAATAGAAGTATGATGTAACATGATATAAACTATAAGAATATTAGATGGTTATCGCTTTCGAAAAATCATGTTATTTGTTGAAAGTCAGCTCTTTATTGAACGTTTGAGATTACGTTTTGAATTCATGGCAAAGGCCAAGAGACAGGCAGTAAATCGACCAAATTTTAAATCCTTGAAAGTTATATTTTCTCTTTTAAAGCTCATCTTTATTAATATACACCTTTTTGGTGATCTACCTTATTGATGTTCAGCCCTTTCAATTGCATATTTTTTCACTCATCCCTTCGATAACCACTTTTTTGTTCGAATGGATACCCAATCGACTGACCACAGTGTTACAAATCACTATTCAGAAGAGGTTTTTGTGGAGATTTCAGTTTTTTCAAAGTTGAAATCATGAGTCAATTGAAGCTAGGTCACCACGGAAAACCTGGAAGCACTGGACGGCCGTTTCGTCCTATTATGGGACTCCTCAGCAGTGCGCATCCACGATCCCGCACTCGCGAGATTTGAACCCAGGACTTACCAGTCTCGAGCCAGAGCACTTAACCGATAGACCACTGAGCCGGCATCCAATGGTGTTAATGTCTAACTTCAACCGATCCATGAATTTTGAGCAACCGTTTACCAATTGAGTTCAGTGAGTTGTTATCTTACGACAGACGTGGTTGAACTCCACTGGTCACTACTTCCCACTAGAACTCCAGGACATGTATCTTGAAGTCAGTCACTAGTGAGCATATGATTATAATCAGAAGGGGTTTTTGTGATTTCAGTTTTTTTTTTCAAAGTTCAAATCATGAGACTGGTAGGTCCTGGGTTCGAATCTCGCGAGTGCGGGACCGTGAATGCGCACTGCTGAGGAGTCCCATAATAGGACGAAACGGTCGTCCAGTGCTTCCAGGTTTTTCATGGTGGTATAGCTTCAATTGACTCATGATTTCAATTTTGAAAAAAATCACTATTCATTATATTTCTAAACTACGTTTACCAATTTACCATGTACTTAGGTGTATGTCACAATTATTGTATGCGGACTAATGATGCTACTTAACAATCCACATGGAAATAAATGGAGTTGAATTCGAACTTACGATCTAATAGTTGAAAGTTTAGGGCCTAAACCACTGAATCCTTGACATTACTTACTTACTTACGCCTGTTACTCCCAATGGAGCATAGGCCGCCGACCAGCATTCTCCAACACACTCTGTCCTGAGCCTTCCTTTCTAGTTCTTTCCAATTATTGTTCATTCTTCTCATGTCTGTCTCCATTTCTCGGTGTAATGTGTTCTTTGGTCTTCCTCTTCTCCTTTGGCCCTGAGGATTCCAAGTGAGGGTTTGTCTTGTGACGCAGTTGGGTGATTTCCTCAAAGTGTGTCCTATTCACTTCCAGCGCTTCTTTCTAATTTCTTCCTCCACTGGAATCTGGTTTTTTATCTCCCACAGTAGCTCGTTGCTGATAGTATCTGGCCAACGGATCCGAAGTATCTTGCGTAGACAACTGTTAATAAACACCTGTATCTTCTGGATGATGGCTTTTATAGTTTTCCACGTCTCCGCTCCATACAGTAGAACTGTCTTGAGTTTCGTATTGAAAATTCTGATCTTGGTGTTGATTGAGAATCCTTGACATTAATTACTTAAAAGAACCATGATAACTAATTCTGGCTGTTCAATACTTTTTATTTGCAATTACTTAATATTTGCTTCATATTGAAAGAAAAAAAAACAACTCAAACTGTAATTGTTTTGAAGCAAAAGAAATTTTTCATTACACTTACCTATCGATAAAATATTTTCATCATTAAAATTGTTTACTGATTGATCTACCAGATGAGATGATGAAACTTCATAAGTAGGAATAATACTTGATGGACTTAACATAGTCCAACTACCACTACTATTATAACACGGACTAACTATTGACTGTTTCTGATAAAGCATTCAAATAAACAAAATGGATAAAGATACATATATGTATGAGAGAAAGAGAGAGAGAGTAAAAGTTAAATACAGAAAAGTACATCCATCATAAATCTACAAGCATTCCCCAGTTAATGTTATTTAATTCCGTCACATGAAAGAATGATTACTTTCTATACGACATTAAAATTTATTTACTAAGTGTACTTAACAATTGTTAACGTTGATTTTTAAGTGGTTGTTGCTTAGTGATTTGATTCTCTCAATCTAATTAGGTTTCGACACCCATAGAGTAGTATCACTAGTCGTCACGCAAAATGTCTAGCTTAAAACTGAATGTACAGAAATTTGTACATGATCAATAAGTTACATGAACTATCAACTCAGTGATACGATTCCAGATCCGTCAGAGAATTTCAATTTCCTTAAGATTATATAGGTATTCCTTGTTGGAAAGTATCAAGTAGTATGAAACCTAGGTCGACTTTTCAGTAGACTACATTCAACCACGGGATGTTGAGCCAATTAGACCAGCAACTTGACCGGTAGACAAACAAGATATTGCTCACTACTTAGTGATCAATCAATTGTAGACAATTAAGTTACACTCAACTGATATTTAAATTAAGTTCACGAAAAAATATTCAGAATTTTCCGGCATCTGATAAGTTAGTAAACGAAGATAAACTATGGATACCAAATATATTCCTGTGTATGCAGTAATTTTACAAAAATTTTGTAACTAAGAAAAAACGGAAACACATGTTCACAACAGTTCAAAAGTTTATAAACGCGGATATATTTTATCCAATTAAGGTGTTTTAATGAGATCCAATATGGCAATCTAAGAAAAACTTTGTAAACTTCACGAGAATAAATACTGGTAATAATTATGAAATAGCATGTATCTCCAACCAACAATATTTCAAAATACCTCAGTCAATTAAGATCATTTTCAGTTATACGTAAAGCTGACAGTTCTTTAATTTCCATTCATTACAAATACAGGCCAGTTAAGAATTGCAACAGCTAGATATCTCACTTACCAAGTATAGACTTGTGTACTTGGCTTTAAGTCAGGTATTATGTAAGTGCTAATGATACTGATAAGTTTCATAAGCCGAAAGAGGCGAAGCAGGACTAAAACTTGAAATCTACTGGTTGAAAGTTGGATGTTTCTACTAATAGACTACCTCTCTCGACCACAGTAAAAATAACCTATTGATATAATAAATATACACAGCAAACGTTGAGATCTTCCTTAATTAAGGAAAACAAAACTCGCCGACAGAGCATTTACCTTATTCAAACTGGATACTTTGGTTAAAGAACGAAATCGTATAAGCGCTTGTTTAAATAACTCATCAACAATTAAATATCGTATATTAGCCAATCTCTCTTCACTAGTTAACTTTGTATTTTTATATTTATATTTTGTACAGTTGTTAGTGGAATTCATCAATGGGAATGAATTTCGTTTAATAGATGTTTCATTTTTTGGACTTGAATGATTATTATTTGATAACTTGGATGAACAATTAGTTTCATTGCAACTATGTGGTAAATGAGATTCACATGCCTATAAAATGAAAGTAGTGTAGAAAAAGAAATTTGCAGATACTCAGCCTATACGCTTGATAGAAATTAGTAAATAAAGAGTAATGCAGAATAATTTGACTAAAACAATAACTATCCACTGAGACAGACAGATTTCATGTAACAAAAACACTATTTTGACCTGGCGTTTTCAACCGTTTTAAACCTACTAATAATGTACAATTTTATTGACTGGGTTTTGAGCTACGCTGAGGTACAGTGATACTACATGGGTGTAAAGATCGAGGTAGATGGAGCACAGTTCGAGCCTGTAACGTAGTGATTGGAACCCGAGTGCTTTCAACAGTAAACCACTACTTCAATCAAATCTTATCCAAACTAGTACTTCACTCTCTAGTATACAGACATATCCAAAAATTCAGTCAACTACAACACAGGACCAGGCACACATATCCACCGGTCCAAGTTGCCATACCTCATTAGCGCAACAAGATTAATACCAAATTCAAAGAAGTGGTTACTTCAATGGTAGTAATATATAAAAGAAAGATTGAATAGGCGGATATAATACGGGAATAAAGAATAAGTTCGCAGAAAGAAAAGCATAAAGTAATTTTATTCTCACAGTTTAAGGGGAGACAAAGAGTGCATACACCTGCGCCACTGTAATCGATTTTGAGCCATGTCACTCAGAGTCTCGAACTATTGGTTACGGTAGCCCCCAAATGCCCTGGTATGGCCGAGAGTGGAGAAAGTCACGTCTTCCTCCCTAAATGCTCTCACGTAGCTGAGCGCATACAACCACTGCCAGAGAAGTCCTACTCACTGCCTTCTCGTGGAACTACTGTTTTTAACGAAATTGAGAGGACGAAAAAGCGAATGTCCGGCGCTTTAACCGCGTTAGTGGACACAGAGAATACACTTAGAGGAGTTGGGAATCCCTGATTCCAAACCAATAGTGTGCATGGGCTCCAGTACCCTGATGGAACAAATGGTGTATGAACCAATCGTTGGTCACTAGTACCATGGGACTATATCTCCTGACGTTGCTCGACTGACTTGTGGATTAGACCTTTAGGTCAAAGGCTCCGGGTGTGACCCCCCTCCCAGGAAAACCACCTGCTTCGGTTTGGGCAACCGGGCAGTATTTTAACCCTCACACAAATCAAACGATTTATGTAGCGCATATCTATTTGGTGCCTCCTTGTAGCAATGTTTATGTGTTTATATAAATAAATAACAAATAACGGTAGTCGCGCGGACCCCAACTAAGTAGTCTACATCTACCAACATGGCTAAGACCAAAAGTTAGTGGCTTCACGTTTCGGTTTAGCCACCCATAACTTTCTTCCAACCGCCTCCGACACTAGTCAGCATCGCTGTTCAGGCATACGTAACACGTGGCCCAACCATCTCAGTCGAAGATTCACAACCTCTTCAACTGATTTACCATATTTCATAATACTCTGCAACTAACCTCACTATTACTATTTACCCGGTGGTCTCAGCAGATGTGGGCAATAGTTCTAAGACATTTGCGATCAAATGCTAGTAACTTACAAGTGTCTTCAACTCTTAATGACCACATTTCGGAGCCGCAAAGTCGGACAGAACGAGATGCCGAGTGGTATACTCATCCTTTAATTGATGGACGGATATCTTGCCTTCGACATAGGTGACATAAGTAGACAAAAGCCAAACAAGCTTTTTGAATCCGTGCAACGACTTCCTCAGTCAACAACTGATTAGGGCTGATCAGACTTCCAAGATAAGTGAAGTTGTCGACGCATTCGACTTTTGGTACAGTACAGCCGGAGACGGAAATCCGCGTGACAAGGCGAGGATCCTGAAGGAACGAATGACGTATGAATCAACTGTTGGTCACTGGCTACCATGGGACTGCATCTCCTTACGATGCTCCACTGCCTTGTGGACTAGACCTTTAGGTCAAAGGCTCGGGGTGTAGCCCCCTAAGAAAACCACCTGCTTCAGTCTGGGCACCTAGGCAGTATCTCAGCCCTCACACAAATCGAATGAGATTTGTGAGGCGCATATTTGTCTGGTGCTTCCTTGTACCAATATTTATGTGTTTAAATAAATAAATAGGCGGAATCTGCTTACCCACCAACCCGGTTTTAGAGATGTATCCGCTATTTGTCTTCTAGACTTCACAGACTATGTTCCAGTAGCTTGGATCAGGCGAGTAAGATTTCCCTGGCAGAGGCACTTAATTCATGGGCGTATGAGAGCATTTAAAAAGGAACAGAAAACTTCCCACTCTCGGCTGTGCCAGAGTATTTGGGAACTATAGTTACCATATAATTAGGCATATATATTATTATGCTACGACCGTTGTTTATGCTTTATTCAAAGTCAGAGTTCATGACGGCGGCCTGCTTGATTACCTGGGCCACCTGTTTCTGACATCTGAATATTTCAACAACTTATCTGTTGTTTTTTTAATTTGTTTTAACACCTCATTATGTCCATTATTCGCATAACCTATACAGGCGCGTTTATGGAAAGCTTACGTCCTTTCGCTGAGAAAATTACAAACAAGTACAATAAAAGACATCGTGGTGGTTGGCAATATGCATTAAAAAGAATGAACATTAATCAAATGCCGATTCCCGAGCTGCTGAATTCTAACTGTCGATCATTAATTAACAAGGTGGACTATCTCCAATTCCTACCAAGTCAAAACATGTATCGTAATTGTGGTGTCATCACAATTCAAGAATCTTGGTTAACTGACTTACAGGACAATTGCTTAGTATCACTACGTGATTTCAATATCTATCGTCAGGATCGATCAAACAATAAAAAGACGTGTGGCGGCGGAGTAGCTACGTTTGTAAACGTTAACTGGTGTCGATCTACTTTTGCTTGTTTCAAGTTTTCAAATGACTTTATCGACTGTCTAACTTTAAGGTGCCGTCCAAAACACCTGAATAAATACAAATATATTTATGTTACCAACATCTACACGACTCCAGACTGCACATCATCTGCGCTATCTGTCTTCGCTGATAAATTCACTGAATTCGCCGTTACTGCCTTCAGTGATTCACTTTCAATTGTATGTGGTGATTTCAATTCATGTGACTGTAGCTTCCTTACATCGCTAGGTCACCTAAATGCAGTAGATTTTCCTACTCATTTGAGTGCTCATCTAGAATTGGTTTTCATTAATGATGTGAGTACATATGTGACTCGCAAACGTGCTCCATTGTCTAGCTCGGATCGCTGTATAATTCATGTTCTACCTAAAGTATATGGAAAACATGGAAAGGGTACACACTTACACCAGACCAAAAAAGTCATATATAGGAATTACTCAGAAGAAAATATACAAAATCTGAAAAACATGTTTCGTACGACTAACTGGGAATTATTTACAGATGACTCACTAGAAAACACCACTGATGTGATCACTTGTTATCTTAAATTCTGTTTTGATATTTGCTGTCCTAGCGAAACCTTCTTTTTAAGTTTTGGTCGACTTACATCTTCACAACTAAAACGACTACGGAGGGTAAAAGAAAGAATGTACAAGGAGAAAAACACTATTGAAGTTCGTAAGTTAAATTGTCATATAAACCTAGAGATTAGACGTCTCAACTCTGTGTTTACTGAGAAACTCCTATGTTGTAAAAACTCTCCAAGTATGTGGAAACTCTTTAAAGAAACTACAGGGGACAGGCAGACTCGAAGCAACAACCAGCTGAATGTTTGTGACTTAAATAAGTCTTTTGTACGTCAGTCATCTGACATCATGCTCCCTATATCCACAGGTTTGAAGAATAGTGTTCCTAGTTTCACTGAAAATGATGTCCAAAAATGTCTTCAGTCACTTAATTTATCCCAATATTTAGGACCTGATGGTATCCCAAACCTCCTTTTTAAAAATGTGCTGACGTTCTATGTTATCCATTCACGAATATATTTAACAGATCCTTTTCAACTAATGTCTTACCGAAAATGTGGAGAAAGATAAAGATACTCCCTATGCCAAAGAAAGTATCTGGTGATAAAAATATGAAACTTAGACCCATAGCAATAACTTCACTTTTCCTCAAAATAATGGAAAAATTACTGATACTCCCACTTCAACCTGCAATAAAAGAGCACTGTGATCCATATCAATTTGCTTACAAATGCAAAAGAAGCACCTTAGATGCCATTGCTGTTCTGCATCATAATAAGGTGTTCGGTTTGGAAAAGGGTAAGAAGTATGTTCAATGCGCTTTCCTGGACTTTACTTCTGCTTTTGATTCTATTCCAAGACACCTCTTACTTAACAAGCTGATTAGCGCCAACACTGACAGGTGGATAACCAATTGGCTATGTTCCTACCTTTCTGGAAGAAAACAGTACACTGTGTTTGAAGGAAAGTATTCAACGTCTCTACTGTCTACTGTAGGTGTGCCACAAGGAGCTGTTCTTTCACCTCTCCTTTTCTCTTTTTTTCTGCATGACCTGCCATCTTCCACAGAAAACACTTTTGTAAAATATGCGGGCAACCTCATTGTGTGTATGCCAATTTCTACTTCCTTACATCCCATAGAAACGAACGAGTTTTTATCTCGCATTGAATGGTGGTCTGTTGGTAATGGTCTCTTACTTAGTCCGCCTAAGAAAGTCAAAAACCCTTATTTTTGAACAAGTGGTTTACATTGTCTCCAGGATCGTGACGGACTTAATAGCGCATAAACCTGTTTCTGACTATCGGCATCTGTCGTTTTTCCACTGCTTTACGGACTGTTATATCTGGCCGATTGTGAACGCTATATTCACTTCCCTAGCTAGTTCCGTAACCCCCGAGCTAGAACTACTCAGCGCGACTTGAAGACCAGAGAAAAGGCACAGAGTGTGAGGGAAGCACTTTACTACAGAGTTCATTTATGTACAGAAAAATATGGGGATTTCATAGTAATTTAAGAGTCCTTCAGTTTTACTGAAAGTCCTAGAACACTGCTGAACATAGTAGCAGTGTATAAATCAACCAATCAGGATCACCACATGTGACTTCTACTAGAAGATATACAAGGAGAAAGATATGATTGAAGTGGATGGTTAGTATCTGATAAGATAACACCTGTCAAGAGTTTGCAAGACTTAAGATGTCTATCCACAAGCATATTTATAATGACCTCAAAATATTCACCACACACCTTGCAAACTGCCTTCAGCACTTTCCAGAAAAAGTTATTTGACTTGCGGAAAGATTGGGTAGACCTAAACACCGAAAGTACCATGTGTCACAAAGAGATTTGTAACTTCCACAGAGGGCTACTTTCCAGTTCACGAGCCTAAAGGTTAAGTCCGTGTTGAGATGACTCTGAGTTTTTCTCGCAAGCGACATAACAAGCTCAGGGGTCATCAAGGAGCATTTCAACCAATCAGCGACTAATTAGAAGTTATGTGAAGTTATGTTACTAAAATAACGAAAATGGAAAAGTCACATGTGGTGATCCTGATTGGTTGATTTATACACTGCTACTATGTTCAGCAGTGTTCTAGGACTTTCAGTAAAACTGAAGGACTCTTAAATTACTATGAAATCCCCATATTTTTCTGTACATAAATGAACTCTGTAGTAAAGTGCTTCCCTCACACTCTGTGCCTTTTCTCTGGTCTTCAAGTCGCGCTGAGTAGTTCTAGCTCGGGGGTTACGGAACTAGCTAGGGAAGTGAATATAGCGTTCACAATCGGCCAGATATAACAGTCCGTAAAGCAGTGGAAAAACGACAGATGCCGATAGTCAGAAACAGGTTTATGCGCTATTAAGTCCGTCACGATCCTGGAGACAATGTAAACCACTTGTTCAAAAATAAGGGTTTTTGACTTTCTTAGGCGGACTAAGTAAGAGACCATTACCAACAGACCACCATTCAATGCGAGATAAAAACTCGTTCGTTTCTATGGGATGTAAGGAAGTAGAAATTGGCATACACACAATGAGGTTGCCCGCATATTTTACAAAAGTGTTTTCTGTGGAAGATGGCAGGTCATGCAGAAAAAAAGAGAAAAGGAGAGGTGAAAGAACAGCTCCTTGTGGCACACCTACAGTAGACAGTAGAGACGTTGAATACTTTCCTTCAAACACAGTGTACTGTTTTCTTCCAGAAAGGTAGGAACATAGCCAATTGGTTATCCACCTGTCAGTGTTGGCGCTAATCAGCTTGTTAAGTAAGAGGTGTCTTGGAATAGAATCAAAAGCAGAAGTAAAGTCCAGGAAAGCGCATTGAACATACTTCTTACCCTTTTCCAAACCGAACACCTTATTATGATGCAGAACAGCAATGGCATCTAAGGTGCTTCTTTTGCATTTGTAAGCAAATTGATATGGATCACAGTGCTCTTTTATTGCAGGTTGAAGTGGGAGTATCAGTAATTTTTCCATTATTTTGAGGAAAAGTGAAGTTATTGCTATGGGTTTAAGTTTCATATTTTTATCACCAGATACTTTCTTTGGCATAGGGAGTATCTTTATCTTTCTCCACATTTTCGGTAAGACATTAGTTGAAAAGGATCTGTTAAATATATTCGTGAATGGATAACATAGAACGTCAGCACATTTTTAAAAAGGAGGTTTGGGATACCATCAGGTCCTAAATATTGGGATAAATTAAGTGACTGAAGACATTTTTGGACATCATTTTCAGTGAAACTAGGAACACTATTCTTCAAACCTGTGGATATAGGGAGCATGATGTCAGATGACTGACGTACAAAAGACTTATTTAAGTCACAAACATTCAGCTGGTTGTTGCTTCGAGTCTGCCTGTCCCCTGTAGTTTCTTTAAAGAGTTTCCACATACTTGGAGAGTTTTTACAACATAGGAGTTTCTCAGTAAACACAGAGTTGAGACGTCTAATCTCTAGGTTTATATGACAATTTAACTTACGAACTTCAATAGTGTTTTTCTCCTTGTACATTCTTTCTTTTACCCTCCGTAGTCGTTTTAGTTGTGAAGATGTAAGTCGACCAAAACTTAAAAAGAAGGTTTCGCTAGGACAGCAAATATCAAAACAGAATTTAAGATAACAAGTGATCACATCAGTGGTGTTTTCTAGTGAGTCATCTGTAAATAATTCCCAGTTAGTCGTACGAAACATGTTTTTCAGATTTTGTATATTTTCTTCTGAGTAATTCCTATATATGACTTTTTTGGTCTGGTGTAAGTGTGTACCCTTTCCATGTTTTCCATATACTTTAGGTAGAACATGAATTATACAGCGATCCGAGCTAGACAATGGAGCACGTTTGCGAGTCACATATGTACTCACATCATTAATGAAAACCAATTCTAGATGAGCACTCAAATGAGTAGGAAAATCTACTGCATTTAGGTGACCTAGCGATGTAAGGAAGCTACAGTCACATGAATTGAAATCACCACATACAATTGAAAGTGAATCACTGAAGGCAGTAACGGCGAATTCAGTGAATTTATCAGCGAAGACAGATAGCGCAGATGATGTGCAGTCTGGAGTCGTGTAGATGTTGGTAACATAAATATATTTGTATTTATTCAGGTGTTTTGGACGGCACCTTAAAGTTAGACAGTCGATAAAGTCATTTGAAAACTTGAAACAAGCAAAAGTAGATCGACACCAGTTAACGTTTACAAACGTAGCTACTCCGCCGCCACACGTCTTTTTATTGTTTGATCGATCCTGACGATAGATATTGAAATCACGTAGTGATACTAAGCAATTGTCCTGTAAGTCAGTTAACCAAGATTCTTGAATTGTGATGACACCACAATTACGATACATGTTTTGACTTGGTAGGAATTGGAGATAGTCCACCTTGTTAATTAATGATCGACAGTTAGAATTCAGCAGCTCGGGAATCGGCATTTGATTAATGTTCATTCTTTTTAATGCATATTGCCAACCACCACGATGTCTTTTATTGTACTTGTTTGTAATTTTCTCAGCGAAAGGACGTAAGCTTTCCATAAACGCGCCTGTATAGGTTATGCGAATAATGGACATAATGAGGTGTTAAAACAAATTAAAAAAACAACAGATAAGTTGTTGAAATATTCAGATGTCAGAAACAGGTGGCCCAGGTAATCAAGCAGGCCGCCGTCATGAACTCTGACTTTGAATAAAGCATAAACAACGGTCGTAGCATAATAATATATATGCCTAATTATATGGTAACTATAGTTCCCAAATACTCTGGCACAGCCGAGAGTGGGAAGTTTTCTGTTCCTTTTTAAATGCTCTCATACGCCCATGAATTAAGTGCCTCTGCCAGGGAAATCTTACTCGCCTGATCCAAGCTACTGGAACATAGTCTGTGAAGTCTAGAAGACAAATAGCGGATACATCTCTAAAACCGGGTTGGTGGGTAAGCAGATTCCGCCTATTTATTTATTTAAACACATAAATATTGGTACAAGGAAGCACCAGACAAATATGCGCCTCACAAATCTCATTCGATTTGTGTGAGGGCTGAGATACTGCCTAGGTGCCCAGACTGAAGCAGGTGGTTTTCTTAGGGGGCTACACCCCGAGCCTTTGACCTAAAGGTCTAGTCCACAAGGCAGTGGAGCATCGTAAGGAGATGCAGTCCCATGGTAGCCAGTGACCAACAGTTGATTCATACGTCATTCGTTCCTTCAGGATCCTCGCCTTGTCACGCGGATTTCCGTCTCCGGCTGTACTGTACCAAAAGTCGAATGCGTCGACAACTTCACTTATCTTGGAAGTCTGATCAGCCCTAATCAGTTGTTGACTGAGGAAGTCGTTGCACGGATTCAAAAAGCTTGTTTGGCTTTTGTCTACTTATGTCACCTATGTCGAAGGCAAGATAATTCATGGGCGTATGAGAGCATTTAAAAAGGAACAGAAAACTTCCCACTCTCGGCTGTGCCAGAGTATTTGGGGACTATAGTTAGTATTTTACAAACTGATGACAATGATTTTAGGGACTAGTTAGGAGATGAGCTAGCAGTGTACTTAAGGAATTTTTAGTTTAGAAAGGTAACCTGAGATAATTAACTGGACAAGAAAGGTTTTGTGAAGTAATGTAACTTTGGCTTGCCACATAAACGACTAACTCCTCAATCAAAACAAACGCATCATTTTTAGAATACATTCAAACTGACCTTGAACTGAAAATGTTTAGTGTAGTGAAAAGTGTTAATTACATCTTCTCCACCATCTGTACCACCATGGGAGCTAAAGTAATACCTTGATTTGTTGTATACTAAACTGAGTGTAATTTCCGCGCCAGTCAGACGATGTAGTTCAAGTGCTTTCTTAAATAAACCATCTCGACGTTTGCGAAAAGTGGCCTAAAAAAGTGGATGATACTTCGTAACCAATTCTTACCACACACTTGTTTTTATCTTCAATTTTTTGGACTTCAATTTTCCTGCGTCCCATTATTTATGAGAATAAAGTGCTTTCCACCAGAATGATTTTACAGTCATATTTTCAGACTACCACTTTACCTAAAATACCAAAAACTATTTCTATGAAAGCCGGTCTATAATGAATTTACACGATAATTCTGATATAATATTAACTTTATCATGAATTCTACAATGAATGATAAGAAAACAAAGTCTTTAGTAGACAAGTGAAAGTCCCATTTTCTAACTTCCGAAGTTTCAGTACATTTAAAACAACATTCATACATTTCTCATCTTGAAAATGTTAAGCATGTTATGAGATTAAGGGGGTTTAGCACAATGATCAACATAGTTATCAGTGTATAAAACTAGGATAAATGAGCGACTATCCCAGTCAATAAGATAGCAACGCCAGACAATAAGTAAAATGGAAGACAAATGCATCAAAAGCAAAGTCATTCAACACCTTTAAGGCATCAAATTGATTGCAATAACCCAAAGCTGTTGGTGAATTCACCCAGATTTTTTACCGTCTTCAAACACTAGTAGTAACAGCTATTTCTACTTACAAAACTCCCTTCATATTGCCTGATCATAAAGAATATAAGACTTTGTAAACATATTAGGGAAATCGTAGAAAAACAGTAGGAGTGTTCCAGATAGCGCAAGACACTTACGAAGTCAAAGTCGCTATGGCCTTGAAGTAGGGTACGAACCTTCAATAATCGAAGCCAGTTATATAGTAAAACGAAGTATATTCATTTCCTTCTGGTGAACTGTACATTTCTCATTTACCTTGAAAAGAAATTAAGCTTTCGTTCTTTGAACTTTACATCTTGTAGCGTACTAGCTATTTCCAAAGCCTTTATGATATCAGTGAACCGCAACAGCTGTTATTTGTGACGGGCTTGTGTCAACTTGGTGACTCCCGTAAAATTTTAGTTCCTTGGTAATGTCCAACAGGTGATAGACTAGTCACCCGAAAGCACTTATTTTAGTCAGTTCGTTATTTTTTTTATGAATTTATATATCTTGTGATCAATGAACAGAAAACTTGGATAACAAGAGAAGACGATTGTCTCAAGAAGTAAATAAATAAATTGGTCGGTAATTCAAACAATTTGAGGTGATCGGAAGGTAAAATAACGAGATTATAGGAAGTTAATGATAGGTGATGATGATAATAGCAGACAATCTACAAGATGTGAATAGGGTACAGTTGGTACATGTGACGGATAGTAAACCACTCACGTGTTTGTGATCACTTCGAACGGCAAGGCATTCCAAATGAGGGGTATTATTAGTCGTTAAAATTGGGGTTTTCAATCTATAATTTCATAGTAGTTACCTGGTACTGGTGTTCAGGTACGATATTTGTGTTCGCGTGACCTTGTGCACTTGATATGTTTTGTGCTACATGTAAGATCCATTTTGAAGGTTTCATGTGTGAAAGTCCATCCATACATATATTGGCGAATTGGTTTCTTTAGTTGTACATTTTTGTTAGTCTTTTTGATGCTATTTGAGATTGTAATGTTTCATTTCCTAATAGTTTTCTCTATCTCTTTCACTGAGTTTCTATGTTTCTTTCTGGATTGTATCTATGTTGTTTTAGTTGATATCTATCTTGGCGGCAGCCATATTGATTGTTCTCTCTTTGATTTGACTGAAATCGTGCATTTTGGTTGTGAATTGAAGCACTTTTACAGAATTGGAAACGCTTTATGTCATAAAGCAACAAACTATTATCTTTTGAACGGGTATTTTATTTGATCTATCCAGAAAGGATAGAATAACACTTATTTTTTGGTGCATTCGCTAACTTTCTTATTTTTCTTATCAATTTGTCTATTTATTGTAATTTAGATCGATTATTGTGGGAACAATTATTGGTTGAATAACTGAGTGGTAATATTTGTTTAGATAAAATTTATATTTATGATGAAATTTAGAACCGTTATTACCCCAATCACTTTGTTCTGACTTCAATTGGGGTTCACGAGTATCTTCTTTTACCAGGCCGTTATTCTTCAGCAAACTTAGTTTTGATCTTACACTGCCATCAGATCGTCTCTCGTTTCCCTAATGCTCAACGAGAATGATTCCAGGCATCTGCAAAACTGTAAAACTCGTCTCTTAGACCCATCACCTATTTTACTGAGCGTCCATGTACTAAAACTCGTATCTCTTTTGAAGAGTGTGGGCTCAACGATAGTATGGACGTCTAGTTGAGACCAATAGTAAGTTTCAGTGTTATAAACAGTCCTGGGGTGGTCGCATTAAGCTGTTTCAGTAAAATTTAGAAAGTTGAATTTGCTTTAGCTGCATCCCTAGTGTAGATTCAGCTGGTGTCCAAGCACTCTGTATTTCTAGATCGAGTTCTCTGGAGACAGTCAGAAGTGGATTTCTATGAAAGACATCTGTAAATCATCAACGTAGATTATCTTTTTCGAATGATTGGGGGCCTATTGGAATTGGACAGGAGTGGTGTGATAAACCAGCTAACTTAGAAGTCACACCTCGCGTTCAGCACCCAACGTGGATTACTCTTTCGTCGTATCAGGGTATTACGGCTGCTTTGAAAACCGCATGACACAAACGATGTTATTAATGAAATATATTGATGAGAATAGTACAAGAAAAAGAGTGTGACCACCATCTCATGGGCCAGTCTATGGCGTGTAATTAGTTGACTCGCGTTGGTTGTCCTTGATCTTGATGGGGATTAGTGAACTACCCGCCATTCAGTGACCCACCTGGCGTATGATTTGGCTAGGACCCAGTGACGTTTCACTGTGCCTACACATAAGTTGTTTGTGTCTCATGGCACAGGGTGTTCACAACGTAACACTTTGACAATTCAAGTTCCAACCCACCGTCTGTAAGATCCAAACCTAGATTCTAATCGGTCTGGATGTGGCCGAATAACCGAGGAATAGTTTCATACACTCGTGCCCCAATCTAAATCAGAACAAAGTGATTTGGGTAACACGGTTCTAAATTTCATCATATATACAAATGTAAAAATTACCTAAACAAATATTACCACCCGGTTATTCAACCAACAACTGATACCAAAATATTCAATCTAAATTACAATAAATAGCAAAGTGATAAGAAATATATGAAAATTACCAAAAACACCAAAAGGTAAGCGTTATTCTATCCTTTCTGGATAGATCAAGTAAGATTCCGTTTTAGCGGCTGTTTTATAACACAAAAGGTTTCAGTTTCCGGGAAAGTGCTCCAAATTACAACCAAAAATGCACGATCCCAGTCAAAATCAAACCGCACAATCAAATAGCGAGCAGTCAATATGGCAGACGCCAGAATAATAGCAATTGAAACAAACTAGATACAGTTCAGTAAGAAACATAGATACTCAATAAAAAACAATAGTAAAACCAAGAAAATTAAACGTTACAGTCTTAATTAGCATCAAAAAAGTTAACAACATATACAATTAAAGAAAACGTAAGGAAGAAATCACAAATGTATGCATGGAGGGATGTTCACTTGCAAAATGGATCCAACACCGTCAGCTTATTATCTCCCTATTGTTGTGAAGTCCTTTTGAAGCCCAAAGAAAATCTTTTTTCTGATCGATCTCTAAATCTGGGCATCATCAACATGCATGAGGGCCAGCAAGCTAACTTTGTTTGGGAGGCCAGTAATAAAGACCAGTGAGGGGAGTGGACGTATGATTGTCTCCCGTGAAATCCCTCATGTCGAAACCCACCCACTTATGTGCACTTCGCTAACCAGAGTAAGCATATAAGCGGGTCCGGGAAACCCATCTTCCCAAACATCCTTCTGGTGAGTGGATGTTATACTGAGTCAGACGTTTGTCAAAAGTCGAGGAACATATGGTCTGGCATCTTTTGGTCATAGAGGTCTGTCTAGGCGTCCTATGCTATGAGAAGATTGAACGAAAGGGACCTGTACTTTCTGAGCTTGTGTTGCGCTTCATGAAAGAACGTTGTCTTTGTTGCTGTATTCCTTTATTTGTTCATTGACCAGTCCTTCCATTCATGTTGACCGTAATGAGAGCAGTTCTATCCGTTTACAGCAGGACAGGTCTCACTTTATGGAGATTGGCGAGAGTGACCCGTGTATCTTATATACAAGTCACTGTTAGTCTGGTGAGAGCCCGAACAGGTCATATATTAGTGTGCTTATGGCTTCCGTGTACTTTTTCAGGATTGTAGGGCAAATGTAGCATCAAGTGGCTTTTCTTAGAGCAGTGATCTTAGTTTCCTCAGCACCAACCAAGAAGTTAATGCCATCAGCTGGCACTAGAGTTAAGAAGTGTTCCACACTTGTAGGTTTCTGGTTTACATGGCTGGAAAAGTGAAGACTGAAGATTTGTGCTGATACTGATCCAATCCACACAATCTTCAAAGCTGAACATGAGAGAACTGGAAAAATAGATATTCAAAATTTAACACGGAGAGTAGGCCAACAGTGGTGAATGTGGGAACATTCAATTAATCATATGGCATGACTCAGTATCGCAGACAAATCGTCTATATACCTGTGTGAGAATGGCATATCCTGAAGCAGGTTATCCATAAAACCTTGAAATGTTTGTGCCGCATCCCTCAGGCCGAATAGCATGCTTACAAACTCGAACAGTCCAAAAGGTATAGTGATAGCTGACTTAGGGATATCCTCCTCAGATACTAGAATATTTTGATATACCATGACCAAGTCAATTTAAGTGAATATGTTCATACACTGTAAGTCATTTGTAGGATCTTGGATATGATGTATTGGATGCCTATCCAGTACAGTTCGAAGGTTGAATGATCCGTAATCTCCACACAGTCCTCAATCGTATTCATTTTTCTTTGAGGCCAAATACAAAGAGGATGCTCACTGACTATTAGACGAACGAATAATACCCAGTGGTGGCATGTGGCTGAATTCGGCTATATCTATTTTAAATTTATCAGGTTCTAGTCGCCTGGGTCAAGCAAACATACGTGCCACTTCAGTTTTGATTGTATGGCTTAATTTTAGTTTACTTTT